AGAATTTACAAAATGAAGAAAATTTTAAAAATCAAAAGCAAAAGAAAAACATTTGCATTTCTAAAAGGCAACCTTTTATAAATATTACCTTAGGAGAAAATAAAATATGTTTGCCTTAATACAGTCCGTAGTAAAATGACCACAGGGACAGGTCTAAATGGTTTATTAAGTAAGAAAAATTGAACATGTGAAAAATTGTTCTCTCCTAGAATATCTCTAACCCACACATGTAATTTATATCATGGCAAAATTCAACACAAAAGATGTATTGTTTTTGGCAAAATAACTTGCAAACATGCTTAATTAGGCTACAAACTAAAAGCATAGCTTAATACTGTTGACAGCCATGAGCCTCAGACAGTGATTTCTGCTATTATTATTATTATTATTTTACTTATGGAAACATCTGAAAAGCAGTAAATATGGAATTAAAGGGCAAGGTTATTAAAGAGATGTAACATTTGAATTTTACGATGCTCATTTCTGTGTCAGCATCACAAACGACAGGCTTCGAACAGCCCCACCTTGTAATGGGAATGAAAGAAATTATTTTTGCAACGAAAGCTTACTCCCATGGATATTTGAAAAAGATGTCAGCATTTAAGTTAATCAATACCTGCTTCCAGTGGGCTTTACTTGGAGAAGGGATGCCTCTTTCTGGGGAGAAGGGATAATTCTTTATGCTGACATTCCGTTCCGTTTACTGCAAGATGTAAATGAATGCCTCCGGTAAATGGATTCCATGGTCAGTTAATATCCAGGGCAATCTTTGCTCTACTGTAGCCACTTACCAAAGGAGCAGCCAGAGCCTACAAATAAATTGGAAGGAATCTAACCCAGGGCACCATTTTCAAACTGCTAATGCCCTCTTCTTCCAGGGCCGTGACTTCTCATTCTTTGTTCCTACAGATTACAGACTAAGGCTATGGAAAGGGAGGGCCAGGTTACAGGACTGAAGGAGACAGAAGAGGAATTTGGTCCTATTTAGATATTCTAGCTATTCCACGTATTTAAATTTCAGTAATCATTTTTAAGCGGTCATTTATGTGTGACAAAACACAAGGTAAAATACAGAGTTAAAGCATTGCATGGTTTAGTGGAGAGTTCTGGCCTCCAGTTCTCTCCCTCCCCCTTGCTGTGTAACCTCAAATAAATTATTTCAGTAACTTTCAGCGCAGGGCTGTAACTTCGCATTTGGTTTTCTTATCTGAAAATGGCAGTTATCATGAAGGGGATCAGGCAAAACTGTGGAGTCTACCAAAATGGTTTTAATAGTCTGACATGGCACAGAAAGTCAGGATATTTCTGAGATCACTTGAAAAATATATCTAATGGGCATCACCAATCTGAAAAGTTAAAACTTCAGGGGTGGACGTCTGACCTGAGTTCTTCCCACTTACCATTTAAAGTTCTTATTTTTACCTCTCTAGACAGCCTCAGAGGTGTATAAAATGTGAAAAAAGTTAACTAGGTATTCTAGTTTATGAGACTCTATTAAACTTTTCACGGATTTATTTCCTATTATAAAATTAATACATGCTTATTGCAGACGTTTCCAACAGCTCAGAATGGTATATAGAAAATGACTTTCCTTCCACTGCTCCTTGCTTTGTTTCTCTTTCTCTCACTCACACACACGCCCCCCCCCCACATACACCCCCCCCAATTTCCATTTCCACTCCCCAGAGATAATCATTATGAAGTTTCTTTTAAAACAAAATACTTTGAAAATGGAAAACACTGAAAGACCATTTATGGATTTAAAAAAAAACACATTAAAGAAAAAAATTCCAAAATTATTTCATGCCAGTCAGGACTGGGGAAATCTCAAATTCCCTCAGAACAACAGAATGACCAACCAGTTGCTGGGTGAGGGAGCTGAAACCATAATCCCGTAAACAAATCGTCCGAAGTGTATGGCTAGAGACAGCCCACGGCAAAGATGGAATAAAGCCTTCAAGGAACACCGCCTCCTCCTCATGGTTAACAACTTGATGACGTTCTTCAACATGTTTTAATGATTATCATACCTTCCTCTTCACAAAGGATTGATTTATTATGGTTTAAATTGAAAGAATACTGGTTTCCCAGTTTTGAATCAGGCTTAGATTACAGAACACATAAAATCAATGACTTTGTTCTAGGCAAGAAAAAACACAGTGTTCACTTAAGTGCAAAAGGAACAGTCCTGGGGAAAAATTCTTCACGCTTGCTCTATGTGCTCGCTGTTTGCACCATCCGCCTCCCGGCCTCTCTCTCCTCCCCTCATCGCAGTCATCGGTACCAGCACACCTAAACTTCACAAACAACTTCATGATTACTTTTGCCAGTCCTCAAAATAATGTTGTTGGATAGCTTTTTCAACATACAATAAAAAAAGCTGAAACTCAGAGCAGTGACGTGATTGGCTCAAGATCTTTCACCTAGTAAAAGGGACACTCACGCAGGTTTATGATGACTTTTTTTTTTTTTTCAAGATTTTATGTATTTATTTGAGAGAGAGAGTGCATGCGTGAGTGAGTGAGCAGGGAGGAGAGGGTAGAGGGAGAGGGACAAGCAGACTCCCCTCTGAGCAGGGAGTCCAACGCAGACTTCATCCCAGGACCCTGAAATCATGACCCTAGCCGAAGGCAGACACTTAACCGACTGAGCTGCCCAGGCACCCAGATTTGTAAAGACATCTAAGTGTGTATCTCTAAATCAGATCTCTCCTCTAAAGCTCCAATCTCCGACACATCTGCATTTTCGTTCCAAGTGCAGTTAAATTCAGTTTCCAGGTTGAGCCCATAATATTCTCCCATAAACTTGTTTTCTTTCTCAGTAAGTGGCACCATCACCCTTCCAGTTGCTCAAGCCAAGAACCTAGGCAGCATCTCTACCCACCACTCCTTTTCTCAACACACCTATATATATGCTCTGTCACTACATCCTGTACATTTTGCCTCCTGAAAATTTCTCAAATCTATCCACTTCTCCTTGTCTCCACCATGAACAACACAATCTGAGGCCCTAGCATCTCGCTTGGAAATCATTTCCATGTTACACCCTGCCCTTCCCTCACCGCCTCCCCTCCACTTGGTGGCCAGACTGATCAGGTAATTCCTCGGCTTAAAATCTTTTGTTGGCTTCCTAGTTCTCTTCAGATAAAGGTGAGAAACCTCAGTGTGTCCTGTAAGAGGTGGTATGGTCTGACCCTGCCAACTGGTAAGATCAGGGAGTGCTTTCCATGGTTTCAGGATATCATGATGTATTTTAAAAAAATAAGTGAATAGTTAAGCTTCTGTGTTTATAGAATGCATAACATTTAATGAATTAAGTGCACAGATTGTAGAATGAAATTTACACTTGTGGATTTTTTAAAAAAACATTATTAACATATGACTATATGTATATCTTTGTGACTTCTTTCTTAAATAGACCAAATTCATTTTATAATGCTATAGAAATTAAAATACATGCTCAAATATATGTAATAAAATATATAATCATTGGTATAATTTATTTCATTGTGTGTGACTTCTGTCTCAAAAGTGGATAGCTGGAGAGATGGAGGCAAGGACTCTTCTCCCATGTTGTAAGGAGTACTCATCTCAGCGTCTAAAAAACAGGGTCAACTTCATTCATCTGGGACCTGTGTAGTCACCCAGGGCCTGAGCTTAGAAGAGCTCGGTTTATTGACTTATTATATATATTTGGTCTTGAAATTCTTACTAATTTTTGAACAAGGGTACTACATTTTCATTTTGTCCTGGGTACCACAAATTGTTTAGCTCATTCCTGCCAAAAAGAATCTCAGTGTGTAAGAGTCGAACTCCCTCATGTTACTCAGCCCAAAGTGTCCATTGTGTTCGATTTCTGTGGTTCTCGATGGAAGGAGGGCTCTGAGGACCACTGGAGTCAGAATTGTCAGTCAGTGGGGGAAGGGTGTCTATACGCTGTACAATCACAGATTTCAGGCCAACCAAACCTGAGCTTCTACTCAATAACTGAGATTTCCAAATACAGTAAAATGTGGTTAACTATTCTTGCAAGTGAATTAGGCCAAATCAACAGACAGTTAATGTGGAACATCCCTTGGCTTCAGCTGCTACTTAAGATAAGTCCTGACCCAGAATATGGGGCATCACTGGGCAAAGGTGGGTATAATCAACTTTACTGAACAGTCTGGCGATAGCCATATTAGAAATCATTTTATGGTTTATAAAAGTCCATCAACAGTTTTGTACAAAGCAAAATAAAAAACTGAACCCCTGGGGGAAATTGTCTGCATGTGCAAAATGCGTCCCCAGGGGGTGCTTCCAGGATGAGAAATTTTCAATGCAAGCAAGCAATATGATGGTGGGGGAAAAGTGTGCTGTTATAAATGAAAAGACGCTGAGCTTAAGCACATCGTGTGCTCCTTTTATCTTGTAGAAGTTGAAAGGCTGCTAGCATCTGTAAATTACCATTAAAATATATTTATAATTACTACTACTTTGCATGAAAAGTGAATGATCCTTGAAGAGTTGGTTTCCTGCTTACCCTAGTTAAGTTAGGTGGATTTAAAAATTAGTATCTAGGTAAAATTTAAATTTTAGGCTGACAATTTCCCCCCAGAGCTCAAAATTTATTTAGAACATGAAAATTTCAACCTTCTTGGGAAAGTTATGCTTCTGAGATTAAAAAAAGTGATAACACAGTTTCTAGAAGCTTCTGTTAGTGATAAAGAGGAAGCATTCAGGGGTCATGATGCATATTTCAAGGAGATGAATTTTGGTGTCAGAACTGGGTTCAAGTCTATACTTTGCTTTTAACTCCCTAACAAAGGACTTGATCTTTCTAAGCCTCAGCTTCCAGTTCCTAAATAGGGATGACAACACCACATGAACAAGGCTAACGTGGGGATCAGATTCGATATGAGTGTTCAGCACGGCGACTAGCACATGATAAGCACTCTACAGATGTAGCTATCATCACTGATGAGCTTCTTCCTCCAGGATTTTGATCTAGTAAATAGTTACCTTATTGACAGGAATAATGTTTTTGACATTGTAGTAGAAGCCAAAATAAACCATGTTGAAAACTCCGTGACGTCCCAAAGTTGCTGTAAAGCCTTTGTTGAGGCCCTGGAGTCCCAAGCCTTCTTTCTTAATGATGTGTCTTGCATAACTCATCGTGGATGGTTGCTGCAGGAGAGAGGAGCAGAGCCAGAGAGACCATCTTTGAGACAGTGAAATAAAGTAAATTACCCTTTGAGCTTCCCTTCAAGCCAGAATTATTAGGGATTTCCCTCCCCCACCCCAACATGAATAATCATGCCTAGATCCATGCTTTTATAATTAGGAAGCTCCATAAGTAAACAAAATTGCATGCATACAAGGCCTTCAAAGGAAGATTGCTGGCAAAAAACCCCCACATCTTTGAATTAGTGAAACTAATGTCATGTAATACCTATCATCACTGCCTACATGTAAATAGCTGCATCCAGTTCTGGATTATCCAAAGTAATGGGGGGGATTAGCCATCCAGGTAAACTGGTAATCCGTAACTGCATAATCCAAAAGGAATTTATCTTTTGTTCCTGAAGCCAGCATATTTACTTTTCTAATTATGATTTTCTGGAGCGAATGTTACAAGTAGTCTTGATCCCACTGCCTCAATAGTTTAAGCTGGCACTAGGTTAGAAATCGGGCACTCACAAAGAGCAGATGTTTGTAGCTTTCCTCAAGAGGGTGGGCAATCAGCGTGTTTATAACTTGTTGTGATAAATGATAAATCAGTGGTACTGGGAGTGGTGGGTTACCTTTAACTTCCTTCCTTCCAGCCCTCCGACTGATGACCCAATCTTGAAATACCCTGACTGCCCTCACTACTTTTGGAGCACACTACAGTGCTCACTGGAGTTCGCCCTGAGGTTTATAATTCGTTATGATACAAGAACAATTCACATGGGCTTCAATGAAAAGTTGAGTGATTGCTTCCTTTTGGAGGTATAGTACAAAGGATATCTCTCCTCATTAAATTTTGACTGAATAGGAAATAGGGGAAAATGCTCAGTATTTAATTTTTTTTTTCCCCCATGAAGCAAGCACTGATGTGACGTTTGTTTGATTTTTCACTGGAGCAGGTTGCTGGAGTGGTCCGCAGTCTGATGTGCTCTCTGACTAGAAGTGTTTTTTTATCATGTGCAATTCAGGCTGTATCAGCAGAACAGAGTAGAACAAATCCAATCAAGGCTTTTCATCCAACTTATATTTCTAGCTGGGTAATTAACAAGATACATTTATATGAGCTTGTTTATATAGTAAATCCTACAGTTATTGCTGATAAATGTTTTAAAAACTCTTAACTACAATACTACACTCAACTTCATCTTTTCACTTAAGATTAATTATAATATATTGTATTAAGCTTAAGGAAAAAAGACACATGAGAATGTATCTTAAAATAATAAAAAACATTTCATATAGGAAACCCAAAAATTCTCAGAAGGTTAAAGTTCGCTCCCTGCTCTACAAAAATAGGACGTTTTTGTTTGTGTTCTGGCACATTGACTATCAACACAAATTATTTATTTTGGTTTTCAGAACAGGCTTGAGGACAAGTTGAGGAGAAGTTCATTTCTTTTGGAAAGACTCTGGAAGTGCTAAGCAAACCGCCCGGGCTCTGCTCTCCTGCTCTGAGGAAGGCAGCCAGAGGGCAGATTTTGAACTCAAGTGCCTGGTTGAGCTTGAACTCTAGTTGTGAGTCATGAAGTAAAATCAGAGAGCAGCACAGTAGTTAGAAATAGTGGGTTGTCTTTCTCTGCTTGACTTATTTCACTTAACTTAATCTTCTTCAGTTCCATCCATGTGGATGCAAATGGTGGGTAGTCACCCTTTCTGATGGCTGAGTCATATTCCATTGTGTATATGAACCGCATCTTCTTTATATGTGGAACATAAGGAATAGCATGGAGGACCACAGAGGAAGGGAGGGAAAACTGAATGGGAAGAAATCAGAGTGGGAAACAAACCATGAGAGACTCTGGACTCCAGGAAACAAACTGGAGGGTTACAAAAGGGAGGGGTTGGGGGAGGAGGTAATCAGGTGATGGGTATTAAGGAGGGCATTTTTTTTTTTAATTTTTAAAATTTATTTTCAGCATTAACAGTATTCATTGTTTTTGCACCACACCCAGTGCTCCATGCAATCCGTGCCCTCTCCAATACCCACCACCTGGTTTCCCCCAACCTCCCACCCTCCACCCCTTCAAAACCCTCAGATTGTTTTTCAGAGTCCATAGTCTCTCATGGTTCACTTCCCCTTCCAATTTCCCTCAATTCCCTTCTCCTCTCTAACTCCCCTTGTCCTCCATGTTATTTGTTATGCTCCACAAATAAGTGAAACCATATGATAATTGACTCTCTCTGCTTGACTTATTTCACTCAGCATAATCTCTTCCAGTCCTGTCCATGTTGCTACGAAAGTTGGGTATTCATCCTTTCTGATGGAGGCATAATACTCCATAGTGTATATGGACCACATCTTCCTTATCCATTCGTCTGTTGAAGGGCATCTTGGTTCTTTCCACAGCTTGGCGACCATGGCCATTGCTGCTATAAACATTGGGGTACAGATGGCCCTTCTTTTCACTACATCTGTATCTTTCGGGTAAACACCCAGTAGTGCAATTCCAGGGTCATAGGGAAGCTCTATTTTTAATTTCTTGAGGAATCTCCACACTGTTCTCCGAAGTGGCTGCACCAACTTGCATTCCCACCAACAGTGTAAGAGGGTTCCCCTTTCTCCACATCCCCTCCAACACATGTTGTTTCCTGTCTTGCTAATTTTGGCCATTCTAACTGGTGTAAGGTGGTATCTCAATGTGGTTTTAATTTGAATCTCCCTGATGGCTAGTGATGATGAACATATTTTCATGTGTCTGATAGCCATTTGTATGATTTCATTGGAGAAGTGTCTGTTCATATCTTCTGCCCATTTTTTGATATGATTGTCTGTTTTGTGTGTGTTGAGTTTAAGGAGTTCTTTATAGATCCTGGATATCAACCTTTTGTCTGTAGTGTCATTTGCAAATATCTTCTCCCATTCTGTGGGTTGCCTCTTTGTTTTCTTGACTGTTTCCTTTGCTGTGCAGAAGCTTTTGATTTTGATGAAGTCCCAAAAGTTCATTTTCGCTTTTGTTTCCTTTGCCTTTGGAGACATATCTTGAAAGAAGTTGCTATGGCTGATATCGAAGAGGTTACTGCCTATGTTCTCCTCTAGGATTCTGATGGATTCCTGTCTCATGTTGAGGTCTTTTACCCATTTTGAGTTTATCTTTGTGTACGGTGTAAGAGAATGGTCGAGTTTCATTCTTCTACATATAGCTGTCCAGTTTTCCCAGCACCATTTATTGAAGAGACGGTCTTTTTTCCACTGTATAATTTTTCCTGTTTTGGCCAAGGAGGGCATGTTTTGTGATGAGCACTGGGTGTCATACGCAACTAATGAATTGCTGAATGCTAAAAAAAAGTGCAAAAAAGTATAATAATTTGGATTTTATCCTCTCTGATTTATCCTCACTTTACTCATCTGTAAAGTAACAATAATAAGAAAACAAGAGAATCTTACTGATAGGATTGCTGTGATGATACAACTAAGTCAGTGGATTTTTTGTCCTCTGTAAGCATTCACTACATATTAGCTGTTAATAATAATGACAATTGTGCTGAGAATAACAAAAATAGTTTGAATAATAAAATAACAGGTAATTTCTTTGTGAGCTGAAGGCAAGGGCCTTAAAAAGGGTGGAGGCTGATCTGAGGGAGACGAAGGGCGTGCACAACAAGGCTCTTCCTTTTCATTCCTTCTGGCCATCCCTTCCTTTTCCCAGAGCCCTGGACCCTTGTGTCTACCAGAAATGCCTCATGCAAGACAAAAAGGTCTGCTACTTCTGAGCCTGATCAAATCCAGCTTCGGGCGAGAGCGCTTCTCCAGGGAGCTTCCTCACCCCAGGGGCTTTCTTCTCTAGAGCAGCAGATCCTGTAAAATGGCTTCTTCCCTACCTCTCAGAGTTAATATCCTTGGTAAGAATTCTCCAGTGGGTAAGTCTGTGGGCTATAGAAGCAAGGCCGCAGGGGAGCAAAGGTTGGGAATGAAAAAGTCACCCACTGGACTTCTACCTCACACCTCACACAGCTTACAGCCTGGAGAGCACATTCATGTGTGTCACCAGGTACCTGGAACACAGTAAGTGCTCATCAGTGTTAACCATTATCACAGATGTCTGGTTGGTTGGTTGGTTGGTTGGTTGATTTATTTATTTATTTATTTATTTATTTATTTATTTATCCTCCCAGCAAAGGTATGAGATAGGTATTATCATCATTCCCATTTGGCAGATGGGGAAACTAAGGTTGTGTTACATGCTCAAAATCACAGAGGTAGTGCCTCTCCCACTCCAAGTCCGTACTTTTATGCTCTGCGTGGTTTTGCCGTTGTAACATATCTGACTGCTCTTCTCAATTTGGAGGGTGTCCAGTGGGTCTATTTCCCTTATTTTGCAGGTGAGAAAACAAGGATTGTTAAATAGCAGGCCCAAAGTAAAAATGCTGGTAAATAGCTTAACCAGAATTCTGCATCTAATCCAGTGTGGTTCTGATTCTGTGGGCTCAGTCTTGTTCTGCATTTGTGGTAAGGGCTTCAGAGTTGGATCATCCAGCGGATATAGGTAATAGATGCATCCTAACTCCAATATATTCTTCTTGGGGCCTCGCGATGGAGAATAACCAGAGTTTTCTAACTCTCCATGAGGAGTAGAAGTGTGCAACATCATGTCACACACATGTAAGCAAATATTTAATTAGAAAGGCAAAACAGGATTTCCACTGGGATGCTTAAATAGGAAAATACAGAATCATTTTGACTAGATCTCTGTAAACACAAGGAATTTTACTAAACTTATTTGATTACTGGGCTTCCATTTCAAAACAAAAATGGTGACTGACCAGCATCATCAGCCAAGTGATTCCAATACTATCCAGCCTGGCGGGTCACCTACCAGTTCAGTTTCCTTCCAACTTTTAGAGTCACTGCAATTTTCATATTTAGTTACCAGTTGCTAGCCAAAGGGCGTTCTAACTTTCCTAGACGTACTCCTTGTCGACTGCACCAGAATGCAAGCAGGGGAGCATAAGTAGATTGG